GGGAGGAGGGGAGCTCTCGCTGCTGCGGCGGCGGCTGCCCGCCCCCCTTTCGGCGTGCTTCCCTACCCCATACCTGGATATACCGCAGCGCCGTCCGCAGCACGCTCAGATTTGATGTCTTCTTGTCGTCCACATTAGGGATGTTGCGTTTCAGGGTCTCAAAGCATTCCTTCAGATGGGCCCTCCTGGGGAAAGGGAGCAGCAGTGGTCAGCCAGCGCCAGGGGCCAGGGCTGGGAGGGAAGAACCCAGGAGAGCTTGGGGACCAAGGGTGAGCAGTCCCGGTAGCAGGCGGGGTGGGCCCAAAGTCACACACGCACGCTCACACACCTGTTCTTCTCCAATTTGTTGTGGACTTCTCTGGTTCCGATCCTGAAACCCAGACAGACAGGAGGCTCAGGGAGGAGGGCCCAATTAGGCGGCCTTCCGGCTCCCTGCCTCTACTCACAAATGGCCACAGGCTTCCTATCGCCGACATTCTCTCTCTACAAAAGCAGCAATGGGAGAGGTTCACCCTGTGCCATAGGCGTACACCCCCTGGAGGGCACAGTATGCTCAAAAACCCCATTAAACACCCTCCACCATGCTGCTACCTGTGAGAAGATAGAGAAACAGCCAGTTGACCCCAGCCCTCACCCAGGAGGCCCATAATCCAATACTCTGTCTAAAGGCTTGCAAATGCCATCGGCCCAATCTTGGAGCGGGTCAGGGTACACAGAAGCCTAGCAACAACAGAAGCCAGTGGCCATTCCCCCTCCCACAGTAGGGATGGGCATGGGCACAGAGATAATGCATCCAAATATATGAGGGCACTTCTAGATTGGGGAGGTAGGACATGGCTCTGCAGGGCTAGCTCGGGAGGGTACTTTCTCTTGCACACACAGCCCGGGAGTGGGCAGTTCTCTCCATCCCGACCAGCCTGGACTGCCCACACCTCACTCACCCCCCAGGCCTCTTCTTCTGTTCGCTGGATTTGATTTCTTCAGCTGGTGCCAACTTCAGGGTCCCAAGAGTGGGTGGGGGTGGCTGCTGGGGGGCCAACTGGGGCTGGACTCCAGGGTGTGGTGCTATGGTCAGGATGGGCGTGGGGAGGGGCTGCAGAGGCTTGGGGCTGCCAGTGGGTGGAATAGCGGTCTTGGAGTCTGGCAGTAGGGGAGCAGGGGTGGGCACCTGTGGTCTGGTAGGCAAGGGGGCAGACTCCTTAATGCCAAGTCCAGGAGTGCTAACCAGGGTGGGCTGGCGAGGTGCCAGGGGCAGAGGCTGGGGTGTGGGGGCCAGTGGCGGGGGCAGAGGCTGAGGGGAATTGGTCATTACTGGAATAGGAATGACGGTAAGTGGGGTGTGGGTGGCAAGTGGTGGTGGGGGTGCCGGTGGGGACAGAGGCAGAGGTGGTGCCTCCATGCAGGGTTCCTCCACAGGCAGGGCATGGGCCAGTCTGGCTAGGCTGCTGGCCTTCTTCTGCTCCTGCTCCCGTTCCCGCTCCAAGTGAAGCCGCTCCTGCTCCTCTATGCAGAGAGAACACAAGGGGTGTCTCAGCAGGACCAACCGTCCTGGGCCCCAGCTTTACCTGTCCCCTAGCTGTAACCCATCCTCTGACCCTGTCCCAGTCAGTGCTCAGTGACACCCCTGCTCAGTCTGAGACACCACAAATACCCATCCACATCCAGCTAGGCGCTGGGCTAACAGCTGGGGGCACAGCTGTGAACAAACAGAATAGACTTGGTCCCTCCCTTTGGGGAGCTTCTGCCCTGGGAGGTGAGGGGAGAGACAAGTAACAGGATAACAACCCAGGCTTGGGGAGAACAGGGCCTGTGGCAAGGCAGAGCAGGAGCTGTCAGGATTCTGAAGGTTAAAGGGTTACACAGGTGATAGCAGGGAGGCTCAGGAAGACTGAGAGGTGTGGGGTGATAGATAAGGTGGGCAGGGGCCAGTCCACAAAAGACTTCACAGGCCACCACAGGAGAATGGAGTGGGGCGCACAGAATGTAGCTTCTGGGGAAAACCCTCAACAACAGTATTTACCAAGTACCTTCTAGAGGTCAGGCAGGACCTTCATCTCACAGATGATCTAATTCAGCTCAGAGAGACAAAGTGATTTGTGAAGGGTCACACAGCAAGTCACAGGTAAAATGGGCTAGGTCCACCCAGGTCTCCTGACTCTGGAGGATGCCCATACTTGCTGTGCCAACACAAGCTAGGTGTCTACATACACACACACCTGAATCCTCACAAGAGCCCCATGCCACGGGCAGGACAGAAACATCACCTTCAGTTCACACATGAAGCAGGCCCAGAGCTCCCAAGTTAGGTACCAATGCCTCTGGCTTCCCAAGGGACCATACAAAACACACTAGGTCCTTCTCTCAGCAGCAGCAGCAGCACAAACTAGAAAGTAGTAAGAGGCAGGTAGAAAGGAAAGCCAGGCTTTTTCACAGGGTTGGAACAGGCAGCAAGCTCAAGCAACCTTGCGCTCTTCAGCGTAAGGTGAGGTCTGTTCTGGAGATGGCTGAGAACAGAAGGAAAGTGGGCTCCTCCTGGTCCAGAGGCCCCTCTCCATCTCTACCCTGTCCCCTCCTCCCAGGCCCCACCAGTCTGGTTCCCTAGCTCCAGGGCTGGGTGGGCCAGGGCCCTGGGGAGCAGCTGCAGCCCCCAGGCCAGGGAGTAGGCTGGTCCACCAGCCCTCCCTCTTGCCCTGGATTCTGATTCGCCACACAACTGACTAACCAAGATGACGGCAGTGGCCCAGCAGACACACCCCAAACTCCCCACCCCACAAAGGGGTGGGGCTGGGGGGGACAAGGTTGACTAAGTACCCCCTGCAGAGGAGGGTATCAGCCCTCACGTGTCTTTCGGGCTCAGGGACCCAAAAAAAACCAATCAACAGCTTGAGTGTGAGACAGGCCAGCTCTCAGCCCCTCCCTCCCACAGAGGAGAAGAGGCGAAGGAGGAAGTAGAGGGGAAGTGTTCCGGAGACTCGGTGGTTTCCCAGCAGCCTGGGCCTCTTCCGTATCTCCCCTGCCCTTCAGGAAGGGGAGCTGCCAGACTAGTGCCAGCGTGCTCCAATGGGGAGGCCTTGCTCTCCCAGGTCTTTCCAGCCAGCACTGGCTTATGTTACAACCCTGAGAAAACCATCTCTCTGCGCTCGGGCTTCCCGGAGACCACACTGCCAAAAAAGCTGGTAGAGTTCCAGCCAGGAACCTTCTGGCCCACCCTGGGACATCCCCAATCTGACCCTCCCTCCACCCCATCCCCAAGACAATGTCCTGGAGCTCAGGGCCAACACAAGCTCACTTTGATTCCTTTGAGCCAGGACCCAAACTTTCACTGGCTTTGGGACAAAGGTTCCATTTTTCCATATGCAGGGGAACAGACAGAGCCCCAAGGACAGGTGCCCTGGGAACCCAGAGTGAAAGCAAACTTCATATTTCCCATATATTAAAGCAACTCTAAAAGATCACCCAGGAGATAGAAACTTCCTCGTTCTCACCTACCCTCTCAGTTCCAGAGCCAGGCAGGTATGCCCCACAAGGTGCTAGGAAGGACCCAGGTGAACAGCCAAGCTCTATCACACCTGGATCAGCAGGAAAAAGCTTGCCTGGTGGTGAAAGAGAGCAGGTGCCCAAGGCCAGTGCACCAAAAATTCCTGCCTCTTCCACACACAGCAGTGATCCTCTCCCTATGCACCGGAGACGCAGAAACTGTGTGTGTGGAGGGCAGGCACTGGCAGCCATTCAGGGACCTACCTCAGGAGCAATATGGGTTCAAACTAAAAAAATACTGCTCTGCTGCACCCATGGGTACAACTCCCTCTCTCACTACCGTGCACACATACACACACTCTGGCACTTTCCCTGGGCTCTGTCCTGAAAATGCCCCCAAACAGTTTAGCATGACTCCTCTGGAGTGACCCAGGGACCACAGTGGAGAGAGTGGGCACGGTGCTGTCTTCATCTATCCCAAGCCACTGTGACCCAGGGGCTCAGCAGACAGTGGGGTTTGAGGAGTCTATACTAGGCGGCCCCGATCGTTCCAGAGAATTCTTCCCTTCTTCATGCTAACAGGGAGCACAGCATGTAAGCCAGGCCCAGGGTGCTCCTGATTAGGTAGGAGAGGGTCCCATTCCAGCCATCTCCATGAATGCTGGAAACGAACAGGCCCTCCTGCTGACTACCAGGCCTTGCCCTTTCTCCTCTTCCCTCTCACACAGACGCCTGCGCATACACATCCTCAGGTTCATATGAATGTGCTGACTGGTCTAGGTCAGGAAGCTGCTCCTTGAGGTTGAATGGCGGCATGGACTGGAGGATCCCTGTTCAGAACTGCTCATCAGATACCTACCCCAGGAAAGCAGTTCTGGTCACCTTCTTTTCTGCTCTTCTTCCCACCCCAAGTAAGGAAACAGAACCTCAAGGAAGAAAATGAATTCTAGAGATTAAACTGCTGCAGCTGGGTCTAGCCATCTGTATGTGAGTTTCTGGAATGGAGCTGGCTTTCTAGCATCCATTCATCCATCCCCTATGATCCTTGCTCTACCAACGAGAAGCTATGACTGGGCAGCTAAACTAGGCCTGACTCTGCTCCCTGGTTTCACTACCTGGGGATAAGGCAGGGACTCTGCAACTTCTTTGGAGAGAATCACTTCAAGGTTCCTTCAGTGTCACTCTCTGCATCCCCATACTTCTTACTGTCAGCCTGGACTTACTTATTATTGGGAGATGTGAGAGATTACAGTGGGGGTCTTCTCCCCTTCCCTATACTGCCAACCAGCCTGCAGGCGAAGTAAACGTGAAGTGAATGTTCTCTTGGGGCAACAGCAAGGTCAATCCTGTACACCTCTAGCACAGTGGATGGTACACAGTAGGGACACAATTGGTACTCCTGAACTGCACTGTATTGATGACAGGGGCAGGTGATTCAGTCTCTCCAAATTTGTGCATGTCTCCCTACCCGCAACCTGCCGCTGGGCTCGCACGCAGGACATTCTTGGTCACCACCAGCTTTATCCATGGCCTGACCCTGCGCTGGACCCTTAAGACAAGAGGGAGGAGTACGTGGGCTGATGTCTCAGCCCATCAGTTCCGCAAAACCCAAGCATCTAAGAGTGACTCTTGACCTTGAGAGGCCGGTCGACCCGAGTAGGTCCGCGGACACGCCGCTCCCCCGCCCCTGGCCCTCTGCCGTTCCCCCCGCCTGCCGCCGCGGCACACGCTGCAGGCGCGCGCGCACACAACACACACTACTACCTCCTGCATGACTCATCACTGAAGCAACAATAGGCAGAGAGAAAGGAAAGGAGGGCGAAGCATTCTCCACCTCAACCAATTCGGCTGAGGGTTTGGGGTGCGGGAAGCTGGAGGGGACAGGGGTCCCCGTATACTGCACACACACCGATCCAGAACTGAGGCCCTCGCAGCGGTCCGGAAAACAGGTCTTTACCCAAGCCCCTATTTCTGCAGTACCCTGAAGCTGGGGACAACCCAGAGTGCACAGGGATAGAAAGCATCTGAAATCTTCGTCTCTGCCCCTGTCGAGGGAGCGCCAAAGTTTGCGTCTTCTCAGCCTGATGCATTACACAATGCGCCAGGGGTGTTGCCAGGAAGGAGGTCCTGGTGAGAATATTTCCCGAAACGTCAGTGGGAATATGCGAACTCCAAATATCCGGCTGCCCTGCAATTCGGGGGGTTTCCTTCGCCCTAGGATCTAAAACAGTAGGTTAGGGCGAGAACCTACAGGTGAACTCGGCTCCTCCTCCGCAGGGCAAAGGCTCTTACTGGGAGATGCCCAGCGGCCCACAGCCAAGGCCCAACCCGGCAAAAGGCCCCTCGCCAGCCCCGCCCAGGCCCCGCCCCCGGCCGAGCGCGAGGCAGCGAGGAGGGGCTCGGCCCCGTCGTCCCCAGCGGGAGTGTCCCCCGTGCACGTGGTCGGGGGCGGGGCCCGTCCACGTCACCATCTGGTGTAACCAACTGGCTTGGAACGCAGGCACACGCAACATTCCAGCCAAGAGCGGGTTTGGAACGCGCAGACACGCCACATTCCAAACCGGCTAAAGTGGGGCGCAGCAAGGGCCTGGGAGCTGCCCCTAGCGACCTGCCGGCAATTCTTCGACACCTAGTCTGCCCGACTCTCTCCCAAACCCCTGACGCGCGACCCAGCCCAGCTCTGGGAGGCGGGGTCAGGCGGGGCTGCCCAGGATCATAAGACACGCGATGTCATTTCATTCTGCAAAGGCCGCCTCCGCCCCAAGCAGCGCGTAGATCGGCCGGGAGCGCCCCCCGCACCCTCCCCATAGGGCCAGGGAAGCCGGGGAGCTGCTCGGCGTAGAGTAATTCTACCCCCCACTCCGTTACACACACGCCCACTCGTGTGCACTATACACTCGCCCGTGTACACGAGCGTTCATCCATCCGTCTATCCATCCGCTCTCCCCGAGGCTCACATCACACAACCCCGTGCACACAAGCACGCAAACGCGGGTCTGCCACCCCCACCCGCAGCTCACACCTTTAGTGCTACCGAGGGTGCCGCTGGCCCACGAGAAAGGAGCCCCCACAAAAGGTGCACAAGGGGTGGCAGCTTCTGTGCGCCCACGGGAGCCGGGTCCCTCGCTGCATATTAATGAATTCATTAATTAATTACACTGCCCAACAACACTCCTCCCCGGGCGGCGGCTCTGGCGCGGAGCCCTGCGCTGCCAGGCTTCAGGGGCTACCCAGAGGGGTACTGCCTGCGGTTCCGCGCGGCGCGGGGACCGGGGTCGCTCGCCCCCCTGTCCCGCGCCCCGGGGGCCCAGCCCGGCCGCTCACCACGTGCTCTCTGTTGTTGCTGCGCTTGCCATTCCAGGAAGCGGGCCGCCTCCAGGAGCGTCTCTATGCTCATTGCGCCGAGAGCTGCCGGGGGCGCGCCGGGGCCGAGACTGCGGCCCGCGAGCCCGGCACAGGTCAGGCTGGCGGGCAGGCAGGAGGGAGGGATCACCTCCGGGGGGGCGACAGGGCTGGGCGGCGCGGCGCACTCCGCAAAGAAGAACGGGGGAGCGCCGGCAGAAAAATCAATGTTTCCCAAAATATTTGCAAAATATTATTTGCAAATTAAAAAGAAATTGATGCAAAAAAAAAAGGTGGCACTGCCTCCCTCCTTCCCCTCCCTCTCTTCCTCCTTCTGATGCCTCCCTCCCCGCGGCCCCCGGGAGTCCCGCCGACAAGAAAAGGCTTTGCAACAAGATGGCGAGGAGGCACCGACACACACAACAAGGGAAGGAGCCGCGCTGCCCCCGGCCGCCGCCCCCGCTACTACACGGGGGCCGCAGCCAAAGCCCGGACCGGAGCCCCCGCCCGCAGGGCCGCGGCTTCTCACGAAGAGAGGGGCGGGGTCCTGAGGGTTGGCCCCACCCACTATAGACGGCGCGAGCACACGTGGCTAAGACGGGGGTGGGAGAAACTCTAGACCGCTTCGCGCCCTGCATTTCCGCTTTCCCGCCTCGCCCCGCCCCGATTGCGAGCCAAGAGTTGAGCAAGGGCTGCATGCTGGGGTCATTCACAACGAAATCTGACCAGCTGGAGGGAAGGGTGGATGGGTAATTCAAGAGAAAGTCAGCTCAAATAAGGATATTCCAGGTCAGGGAAACCTTAGGATGGAAAATACTGGCCTGACCCTGGGTCTCCGCTCCCTACCCGCACGTGACCTAATTTCTGCAACCACCCGGCTCTCGCAATTCCCCCGGGATCCGCCTCTGGGCGGAGCTGACGCCAGAAAGCTGCCAGAGTTACGGCAGAGGAAGTGGAGTGGCGATCCGATTCCGCATTTTGTCTCCGTTCCTCCCCCCGCAGTGCGTTCGCATCCTATTAGGCGACGTCACCGGGCCACGGGCCAATGGGCGGGCAGGACAACACGGCATGGAGCAGCTCCACATGGACACCCCGCGCCGCCAGCCTTCTGTTTAAAGGGCCAGTGTCCACCAGTGTCACATTCGCGGGTGCGAAGGGGCCACTGTGAGAACGGAGGGTAGGATGCCGAGAGGGAAATTCTGCGGTTATGCCCTGCTCTACCTTTTCACCACCCTCCCTTTAAAACCGAGTCTCTCCCTTTCCTTCCCCTAAGCTCTGTCCACGCGTGTCTGATGTGGGTGGAGACTCCAACTGTGCCACCCCAGAGGCCACCCTATGCTCTGGGGCCGGGGCGGGGGCTAAGGCGAGGCATCCACAGCCCTGAACTAGGGGGCGTGGCCCAAATCGGGAACAACAACGTGGAGGGCGGAAGCCCGGCCCGCGGAGCGGCTAGGCGTCTGAGGCCGCCGGCAGGGCGCAGGGGCGGGGCCGCTCCCCTCGGCCTCAACCGGGTTCCTATGACTGGCAGAGACTCCCGGGTGGCGCCCTTTCCGTCGCTTGTTTGGGGGCACCTGGGGTACAATCAGGAAGTTAGACCTTTGAAGTCAGCTTGCCTCAATCCTCATTTAACAGATAAGCAAGCTAAGGCCCAGAGAAGGAAAGGGCTTGTCTAAGGTCACTCAGTAGTCAATTGCGCCTTACGGAGTACAAAGGGCATTTAACCTTGACCCCACGGACGATCCTTTTGAAAAGAGTTCTGGGACAGGGCCCCAGTTAGAAAAATGTCATGGAGTATTACCATGGGAAGGAGGCTCACCATTTCACAGTGATTGGGGCCACCAAAATTTTCACCTGAAGCCATGCTGTTCCGCTTTGGTGGAGGCTGCACAAACCCCACTCGTACAGGTGGTAGTGACAGACACAGGCTTGAAGGCACATTTGGTACACCCTGGAGCATGTGCAGCTCTGCTGCCCCAATGCCAGCAGGCCTCAGGCCCTTTGATACTGGCCCCAGATCCCTTTGGTAACCAGTTCAAACGAGTGGGACAGTGCTAGTTGGGAGTCAGAATCCATCATACAAAGCCAGAAATCAAACCTTTATGAAGATGGTTGAGTGTCAAGGTGTGCCCTGCCATCCCATCTCCCATTCCATCCCACCCCAACCCCACTGCACTCTCAGAAGGGTAGGTTCCTATTTTGGCAACTAGCTAGAGGGGAGCTAGACTCAGAAAGCTGGTACAAATGCATGCTTGCTGGCTTTGCTCCTTTCCTTTGAGGGCTTAATGCATCCTAAGTAAAATCTGCACATATCTTGGAAATCAAACACCTAGTGAACAACAGGAGGAAGGGGGTTGTTTGCCAGCACGAGTCTACAGAGGGCTCTGATCTTTGCACATTTAATGCCCAGGCACCTGCAGCTGAGCATGGAGAGACCATTACTCACACAAACGCCCAGCTACCACCACTGGCTTTGTTTATGTTACAGCTGGAAAGCAACAGGGGAGTAGAGCACAACAGCCCAGTTCTCCATGGGATGAGTGTCCTTTTCCTGGGAGGGCTAGATCTGTGCTGGTTTTGACATTGCTACTTTTAAGGTCTGCCACCTACTACTAGTGTCCTTGGGCCTACCCACTGCACAACCAAAGAAGTGGGAAATTTAAAGGCTATGTATAGATGTGGGGCAGGGGTGCTAGACATTATATATATATATATAGTAGTGACCTGAAATAATGTTGTCATTTTGTTTGAGGTCAGCACTACATCATTCTGCCCAGTGGCTCAGGATGCTCAGAAAACTACATCCAGCCTTACTTACCCTTCTGCCTTCAAGTGGTCACAGCATTCATACAGCCCTATAGTCTCTTCTAGAGGCTTAAGTCCAATTTCCCTGATTCTTTGTATCAGGGACCAGCTGTACCACATTAACAAGTTACCCCTCTGAAAAGTAGTATTCTGAAGACACCTTTTCCTAGCAGGGGTGGGAAAGCAGGAGATAATAGTGGGGTGACAAAGATTGAGATGCCAGTCTCTCCCTTGCCCCCAGTACCCCATCTGCTCCAGTGCATAGTGGAGATGCTTGCTATTTAAAACAAATAGCCTCACTGGCTTCACATTGTAATCTGTTCATTTGGGTCATGTGGGGTCAGCTGCCAGGAGATGTTAGGCAAAAGCAAGGGTTTAGAAAGGCTTTTTCTGGGCCTGTTGTTAACTACAGGAACCTGAAAGTGGCCAAACAGAATTTCTCATCAACCAAGGTTTCCCAGGTGCGGAATGGAAAGTGGGGTGAGAAATATCTATGGGGTGAGGTGGGCAATAAGAGGAGAGGGGAATGAATAAGAGGGCCGCTGTCAACATTTTACCCCCAGCTTCCTGTTCCAAGCAGGTGGAACTGAGGTAGAGGCTGGCAATTGTCTTCATTCAAGGGAAAGGTAAGAGCAGTCTTTTTGATGTCTCAGCAGAATGATTAGTACATCTGGGGAACGATCCAAAGCCCAATCACCTTCAGAAAGTTGTTTCTACAACTTCTTTATGGCTCCAAGGTGGCAGAGGAAACCTGGGCCATGCATCATTGTGTACTTACTTTCTCAGGAGAGGATTTGTTTTCTGCCTTCCTCCTCCAGTCTTGTGCACCCCAATGTCAGTTCAAATCCCTCAGTTTTTAAATATGCTGAGCATATTTAAAATATGCAGTTTTTAAATAGACAGTCCTTTAATGATGCTGTCTTCCATCCCCTCCACCACTCATCCCAACAAAGTATTATACATATATATACAACTCTAAGAGCTATGAAGATTAGTTCCCTGATCCCTACAAAACATAAATAATGAGAAGGCAGAGGGGGTGTGAAGCCCAAAGTACAGGTATTCACACTAATCACAGCAGATGATGTTCTAAGCCTTTAGGACTGACTTATCAAATTTTGCAGTTGGTTTTAGGGAGCTTTCAATCTATCATAATTAAAACACGACCAAAAGCATAAAGTCAGCTATGAGATCAAGAGGGACAGACTAGGACACCCAGGAACCTATCAGGTGACATTCATTTAACAAATATTTACTGTGTGCCTATTATGTGCCAGGCACTGGACTAGGTATCCCTGTAGATAAGGCCAGGTGACCTTTGGAAAGCCAAAGTAGAGTAAAAGGTCACAAAGCAGACTCAACTCCATAGTAATGCCTGGAAAAGGTTAGCTTGCTCTATTTAGATTATCCCAGATAATCATACTTTTCTAAGGGGTAAGAAGAAAGTGGATTTTAAAGCTGGGTTAGTCATCTGAACTCAACTCCTGCCAAGCCCATGATGAGACGGATTTTAAATTACCTAGAGATGTATCCCCTAGGGTACTCATTCAATCATCAGTGAGATGGGCTCCGCAGAGCTGGAAGTTTCTACCAAAGTCCTCACCTACCTTCCTCCACTCCCAGTGAGTTGTCAAAGTACCTCTCCTGAATCTACAGAACAGGTACAATCAAGTTCCACCTTTCCAGCTAAGTACTTTCCCCTCTTCACTGCCTCACATGATGTCATAGCTGGAAGAGTTTTCAACCTCCCAAGAGGAATCTTATCCAAGGCCACAAAGCTGCTTTAGTGTCAGCTGGGATGAGAAGTGGCCTGGTTCTCCTTCCAGTGCATAAGAAGTGGGTTCAGTGTCCTTGGGAACCTCACAGCAATGGATAACTTCTCCCCTCCTGGCTAAAGGAATAATTAACTCTGCATAGTGGTATCCAGTAAACAAGCTTAGCAGCTATGTGAGAAGACAAGGAGGGAGAATCAGACTGAGGATCCTAGGGCTTAGGCGACCGCAGGGTACACCACAGTGCCTCAGGCCACTCAGAAATTAAGAGCTGCTAACTGGGTCTCAGTTAGACAGCCATTCCTCACTGGCGCTTATGTCCAGCCTGAACAGGTGACTGGGGAAAGGGGCAGATTTTTATCCAGCAACCACCCTGGGTGTGGACACTGAGTAATAAGGAAAGAAAGGCAGTTCAGAAGCAAAAAGGGAGGAGTCACTTGCTGAGTTTTTCTGAGAAATCAAAGAGCCTAGCCAAGCTGTGCAGCTAGAGATGGGGTCTATGGATGACTTAGGTAGGGGGAAGCTGATCAAAGTGGAAGGCACAAGGGAAAGGATGATTTTATTCTTTTGAAGAAAAAATGAGGTAGCTTTACAGAAGCAAGTTAATTCAGGTCAGGGGAATTAGGAATAGAGAGAGGCGGAGTCTTGCAATGTGAGGCAAGGGCCAGCTGGATCCTGTGGGGGTAGAGGACTGCTGTGATAGGGAAGGTCCCTCGCAGGGCAGAGGGGCTGGAATGTAACCAGAGCCCTGGGGAAAGGATGAAGTTCTATGATCCCAGCAACCCAAGCTCACACCTAAAAGGGTGGCTGTGGGATTGTCTTAAAACATAAGAAATAAGGTACCTGTGCTAATAAATGATGCCCTCAGAAGAATGTGTAAGGCTTGGAGGTGCAGTGGCCTGTCACTGGCTGAACTGGGACTCCCAAGGGCTCAGCTTCAATCTCGTAACTGGATTTCTTAGCAAGGCCCCAGGGCCCACTGGGAGAGTTTATCCTGGGCAGTGCTGGGGACACTCTAGGAGCCATGTTCCAACCAGCCTATTTCCAGACTGGGGCCTGAGACAGTACATACCCCAACCCACAGCCCGCTTGAGTCCCTGTTCCCATCACAAACACCTCAGATGGCAGTACTAGAATGACCAGTCATCTCTCTAAAGAGTTAGTGTGACACCTCTGAACCATTTGTTAAACAGGTCCTTAGACCTCATACCATATACCAACATAAATTCAAGCAGTAAATACAAAAAAATAATGCCAAAAAGAATAATAATAAAATACAGGCAAACATCTTTCTGTGCTAAGGGTGGTAAAGGTTTCTACCCTTAAAGGCAAACAAAATATAAAGACAGCATGACAGATTTGATTACAGAAACCCTCTAAAAGCTCCTGACTGTACAAAACAAAATCACCATAAATAAAAGGAAAATGACAAAATCGAAGAAAACACTGGCAAGATGTGCCCTTGCAGTTCAGTAACAAAAAGAACACTTGGAGAGAAAAATGAACATAGAACACAATTTAAATTTTATAAAACAATGTATGAAATACATATCATAAGTATGTATAATACATGAAAATGTCTGACACTGCCAATACCAAAAAAAAATTAAGACAATGAGAATATTCTTATCAATTGATAAAGGATTTTTAAAAATTAGCTTTGTAGTGCTATCAAAGGTGTGTTAAAAATGGTACTCATGGAAATGTAAACTAGCACAACCTTTTTAATGAGCAGTTTGGCAACAGAGGTGACCCTGAACAACATGGCTTTGAACTGTGCAGATCCACTTAGTTTTTCAGTAACTGAATTGGAAAATTTGAGATTTGCCAAACAGTCTGAAAAAACATTTTATTTTTTCCAGCTAATTTACTGTTAGAATACAGTATTTAACACATATAACATATAGAATATATGTTAACCAAATGTTTACCAGTAAGGCTTCTGGTTAACAGCCTATTAGGGGGCCGGCACAATAACCCCACACTGTTCAAGGGTCAACTGTATACATGAAGAGTCATTAAGAGTCATATCCTCTGCTTCAGTAATTCATATATAAACTTATCCTAAAGCAGTAAGAAAACACAAAGATTTTCATACAAAGATATTCACTAAAGCATTTTTTATAATAGTGAAAACAAGAAAACCTAAATTTCTAACACGAACAATTAGTGTAGTGAAGTCACATTCACAATATGGCATGCTGAAGAACACAGAGTTGTTAATAAACCAAAATATTAACAGTGGTTGTCTTTGGGCAGTGTGTTATTAGTAATTTTTATTGTTATACATTTTGACACACAGATTAGTTTTATAATCAGAAAAGGGTTATCACAATATATTGCTAAATGAAAGGTTATAAAACTGAAATAAACAATGACCCCACATTTACTGTTTAAAAATATATATGCATATAAAAATACTAAGATTAACGAAATGTAAAATAACTCCATTTGAGTAGAATTGTAAATTTTTATTCATCATTTTCTAAATTTCTTATAATGAAAGTTCATTACTTCTGTAAAATGAAGCAGTGAAAGAGGGGAGCAGTTTTCCTGTGCCTTATCAGGAAGGGCCTCAGACTTCTATCTCAACGAATTAACCTGTTACTATGGGTCTACTTTCCATCTTAGTACTTCTGAAAGTTGTTTTGTCACCCAAAGCAGGTTTCTTCATACCCCACCCCCATCTCCCAACCTATCTAAAATATTTCTTCTGCTCAGCTCTGACGCTCTCTAGAAATGGTCCAGGTGAGAGGTGAGGAACAGCACTAAGACAGTGGCACTAAGCTTGGAGAGTTGGACTGGATTTGGGAGATATTTCCAGGTGAAAGATTTTAGTGCCTGATGGTGAAGAAGAGAGAGGAGCAGAGATTTCTAATCAGGACGGCTGGGTAGGTGGTGATCAAGAATATAGGAGAAGATGGCCAACAGGCACCTGAAAAGATGCTCCACATCGCTCATTATCAGGGAAATGCAAATTAAAACCACAATGAGATATCACCTCACGCCCGTTAGGATGGCCAACATAGAAAAGAATAGGAACAACAAATGCTGGCAAGGATGCAGAGAAAGGGGAATCCTAGTACACTGCTGGTGGGAATGTAAGCTAGTTCAACCAGTGTGGAAAGCAATATGGAGGTTCCTCAAAAAACTAAAAATAGAAATACTATTTGACGCGGGAACTCCGCTCCTAGGAATGTACCCAAAGAAAACAACTTATCAGAATTCAAAAAGACATATGCACCCCTGTTTATTGCAGCATATTTACAATAGCCAAGATATGGAAGCAATCAAAGTGTCCATCAGTAGATGAATGGATAAAGAAGAGGTGGCACATATACACAATGGAATACTATTCAGCCATAAGAAAGAAACAAATCCTAACATTTGTAACATGGATGGAGCTGGAGGACATTATGCTCAGTGAAATAAGTCAGGCAGAGAAAGACAAATACCAAATGATTTCCCTCATTTGTGGAGTATAACAATGAAGCAAAACTGAAGGAACAAAATAGCAACAGACTTACAGACTCCAAGAAGGGACTAGTGGTTACCAAAGGGGAGGGGTGGAAGAAGGGGATTGTGGGGTGTCATGACTGGTGCACATGGTGTGTGTGGGGTCGCGGGGAAGACAGTGTTGCTCAGAGAAGACAAATAGGGACTCTGGCATCTTACTACATGGATGGACAGTGACTGCAATGGGGTATGGGGCGGGGGGACTTGATAATAAGGGTGAATGTAATAACCATTGTTTTTCTTGTAAAACCTTCATAAGAGTGTATATCAATGATACCTTAATAAAAAATAAAAAAAGAAACAAAAAAGTCCATTAAAATACACAGATAACTATATTAGTTTACCCTATATATTATGGATAATAAATTCCTGAACTCTTAAAAAAAAAAAAGAATATAGGAGAGAAACAGGTATAAAAAATAAGTTGAATTTTACACAGCCACAGTTGGCAGGGAGGATGTCCAATACAGGTGGTTAGGTATATGATGTTCAAAGTTCAGGAAAGGTCTAGATTTGGGCATGAGGAAAGGGGGGTGAGCAACAGTTGAAGTCACTGGAGTAGGTGGTCAGCCAGAAGTGGGAGCAAAGAGCAGAAAAGGCCCATGGACACAATCTTTGGGATTCTCCTTTAAGAGGTAAGAAACTCTAAAAGAGGAAGGCAGGCAGCAACCAGACTTCAGTAGCCGAAGTTAGGAAAATGGAGATGGCAAATATTTAGACAGTTCTCCCACCTGATGGTAGAAGAGGTCATAAACTGATAGCCTCAGAGTTTTTATAAAACATATAATTAGTTGTCAGGATTTACAATTAAGTAAATGTCTTATAAATCTGGATTTTTGGTTTCCCTCAAAAAATCAGAAGATCCTACATCACTGGGTACTCATCGGTACTCTGCATGGCGATAACCAACAGTAACGGAATAAAAGCTACTTCCTTTCAGCCAGAGCACAAGTTCTATTCCTTCTTGGCTGGCCCCTGCTGCAGAAGATGAGGAAATACTTCTCTTTGTGAATGAAAAAGCCCTTATTAGCACTCATCTAAGGTTCACTGAAATACAGGCCAGAGTTTGGTCCATATGTGGCCCTGAAGGCAAGAATCTTGGCACAAACATATCTCAATTAAGGAGCCTCCGTCAGACCAGCCTGGGAATCCCCTTTCCCAGCAAAAGACATCAAGATCAAGCCTCTGGAATAGCCAATCTATGGGCACAGGACCCCACCTGACCCTCTGTCCCAGCAGGGGTCAGTCAGCACTGTTGTCTGCATAGCCTTCTCTTTTTGGACAGTGGTAACACAAGCTGCCATTTTCCTGGGGGGCTGCTGAAGCCAACCAAGTCCCCCAGCTGGGAATTTCCTGGCTCGAGCTTCTGGCCTCTCGGAGCCACACTCCCTGAACGGTTCCGCCAGACGGCAGGGCGCTTTTTGTTCCCTCTGATGTACAGGAGTTCCCTCACCCTACCTGGGAGCCACGACTTGCTGCCTTTCGGACAACTGCTACCTTTTCCATCAACATCAAAAGCACCTGTTGTGTGTTCTGTAAGTGAAATATTTGAAGCTGTCTACTAAAATGTAAAAAAAATAAACCCCATCTTGCATTATTATACAATATGTATTGTCAAAGAATCATTACCTAATCATCAGTTATTTTACATTGATTCTGATCCAGCATGTGCTTGCACTATTCATTTATGTGGTTTCACTACTTAATTATCTGCATTACTGCCAAATACAAAATTCTGTTAAGATTTGGTAACATACATTAAGAACTAATTATAAGCAATTTCACTTATTAAATCTTGCTCATTGATCATAGGCTGGAAAATAACATTACCCTAAAGTGCTTAACTGTGAGTTGGTTAAGAGACACTCTTCCCTGTGTCATGTAATTGGAGTCTCCTTTCTCCAGAGCTAAGTCAAATGAGTCTGCAAGTCCATGTGTGCCTAAGGGTAGCTCTTGCTAGGAATTTTGAGATTTGGTACAAGATACCCATCTTGGATCTCTGGACTCAAGATCAAATCCCATTTCTGACTTTGCTCTGTGAATAACCTTAGACCAAGTCACTTGAGGTCTCTCCAAACTTCCATTTCTTTCAGCTCTCACACAGGGAAACCACACCCCTTTGCAGAGTTACTAAATGAGGCAAACCATGTAGAAGATGACCAATCAATACTGGTTCCCTGTTCTCCCTCCAGGACATGGAAGCCTGGTTTTGTTTTTGGTCAGTAATGGCACTCTACACCTGCCAGCATACACTTGAGATCGTTAACTTTTTTACTTGAATCTCCTGGCAGAAGATTTTCTGACCAGAAATTGAAAACTCAAGACAAGATGAGCAAGCTGAGAGGCCTCCTCTTTGATTCTAAACTCTTTTGGGTGTTTCTGCACTCTCCTCGCTTAACTGCTGCTACAACTCTGTGAAGACATCTGCATCTTTTGTATGAGGAAGCCAAGGCTTAGTGAAACTGACTTACCCTGTAAATAGAACTGGAATGTAAACCCAGGTCTGATGAACTGCAAAATCTATGTTCTTTTCTGGTTCTCCTTCCCCCACAGGGTGGTCAAAAAGCATCCTTTGCCCTCTTGGGGGCATCACAGACAAGCCAATTCCACCAAGTCCACCTGCATTTTCTGGCACACATCTCATCTCTGTGTTCCAGCTCATAACAAGCACCCATAATCCTCCACTTCCCTGGGGAGCACCTGGAGTCCCCGATGTGCCCGCTTGGGCTGCGAGAGGCAGATGGGCTACACCTCAAAGGGCATTCAGAGGTGTAAGGCCTTCACTCAGTCACAACATAGTCCCCTGGAGTAAAAGCACAGCCTCCAAAAGGCAGCATTAGTTGTTCTAAAAGGGAGTATTAGTTGTTCCAACCAGCAATTAAAAAAATAAACTGCTGTTTTAGTCATTTGGTGAGTCACAGAAGAGGATCTGAATTTCTTTATGGAGCAGAGTGGGAGCCCTCTGGTATGAGTGTGAGGCCCTGTTGCTAGTGGCATGAGCCCATGCAGGGCTTTCTACTACTGTGCTGGCACTGGCACCAGGAGGTTTGGACTCAGAAGCATTCAAGACTATCAATGCCCTGCTCCCAGAGGCAGAAATCAATTCACTCCCACTATAAGCCTCTTCTGGGGTTTCCTGGGGTTAGTAGTGCTTATTCAGCAAACCAAATCTCCTGAGCACCAACTTCCCTAAAAATGATGTGGTCCCATCCCTCTCATAGGGGCACCTCCTAGATGGCTGTAAAAATGCTGCACCTCTGAGACTTCCCTTCTCCCAGTGGGTTCCTTAGTTTTCCAAAATGGACCTTCTTCTTCCTAATGTGTAGATCTTTTGGGTGGCCCCGTTACATCTGACTGGGTGTCATAAAAACAAGGGAAGGTGGAACTTCTCCTTGAACCCACACAGATTCCAGGGTTAGAAATATACATGTTCAATACAGAAACACCCTTTATGGGAAACAAGGCTCAGCTAACCCACATAATAGATGTAACACAGAACCAACTGTACCAACTTTTGACATAAACAACATATTTCATGCAAGTTAGTCAGCTGGCCAGATAAACCAAAATAAGAATTAAAAGAACAATGAAAACAATTTCTTTCTTCGAGCTCTCTAGACTTCTGGGAACAGAAGACATCTGAAAGTTACTGTTTAAGATCACTAACATCCCGTCTAATACCTCCATTAACTAGATACCAATAAAAAGTTGATCCAACCCAGATATCTTCTAGAGTAGGAGGACTGAGTAGATGAAAAGAAAAGAAAAAACAGTCAACTGGGACCATAATACCCATTAAAGGGTTGAAAGATTTGCCCAGATAAAAAAAAAAGGGGGGGTGGTGGTTCCCCCCTTTCTACTTTTCTTTTTTATATTTATATGAAAATCTACTTGTTTACATAAAAATATCTGGGTAGCAACTGGATATTTCAAGAAAATACCAAGGACAGAATTTTATCTGCTCCCACAGTGAAGTTACAGAGCTTGATGAAAGGGCCAATGATGCCCCCGTGTGGCGTGAGAGAAAAGTGCTGTGGTTTAAGTAAGATTGAGGGACTTCCTCCCTTAAGATTTTCTACAGGATTTTGCATCTTTCCCACATTCTGCAGTGCTATTACTTGTCAGAGCTTAGAAGTTGGTGTGCTGACATCATTTCCATTAAGAGGAGAGAGGTTTCGTGCCTCAAAGAACATAAACTAAAAATTTAAGTCATCAATTTGAACCCTTATGATTAGCTGCAACTCCACAAAAGAGGTGCCCACCCTGCTGGGACTCACAGCACTGCTTTGGTGTGTGAATAGCTGGGCAAGGATGTGGGGTGAAGGAACTCAACTGCTGGAAGAAAAGCAGATTCCAGAGAACAAAAGCAGCTTTAGTGGCTTTTAGGAAACAAGTTCAGCTTCTGTTCCCACTTTATCAAGCAATCAGAAGCCAATGCCAGGGACTAGAATAGAATTAAAGATAATAACACAAAGATTTAATTCTGTATCAATCCAGTAACATGAACTTGACCTTTAGACACCTAAGGCCAGTAGCACTCAACATATGATTCATGGGTCAGGAACCTATTTCTTTAAAGAAAAAAATCCCTTTTTCCCCATATCACAGGTATATATTAGCACACATCACACAAATATAAAGTATGATATAACTAAAATAATTTTTAGATGTCTTTTAAAAATGTTCTCAATGTTCTCTCACTAGATAGAAATAAACTATTCTTGGAGAAGAAAAGGCAGGCATCCAAGTGCAAAGCAGGCACTCGCAACTCTAGCAGCAGAAGCTTCCCTCATCAAACAGCTTTTAAATTCTAAGAGCATCAGCTTAACACCTACAACCTCTCCAGGACACCAGGCCTTAATTTAAAGGTGGGGCACCGAAACACACACAGCCACAAGACACATCTTTTGTGCCTCCAGTTACAGAGTATTCTCTGGGGATCTCTAAGTACTAGAACTTAAACAAAGGCTAATACTGTGCCTGAAATACACTGTGCACAGACAAGGAGTTTAAGTACTACTGTGTAACACGGCAAAATACAAGATGTTAAGATGTAGCACTGAACTGTTTCATGATGTAACATGAAACTGAATATCCAGCATGAGAACAATCCAAGTCGAACCCACACTCGCCCACCTGACTGACAGAAAGCGGCTAGAAGGAAACATGGAACACCGACAAGTGGATGTGTTTAAGAAGACTGACACTGGCGGTGACTTTGTGGCTCTTTTCTACTTTCATTTATTCCAAATCTTTAATGCATAATGTCTATTCTTCAATGATCAAACAAACAAGAAAATAATATATACTTAGTGACCACTCATCAAATGAATAGTTGCCATTTAACTCAATTATCCTAAAATTCTATCAAGACAGAAACTAGGTTTGGGTCTAGCATATGATTCAAATGTCATCAGAAATAAGTACAGCAGGACAGTGTGGGTGGGCACAGGACAGGAACCGTGGGCTGGGGGAACCCAAGGCCCTGGACTGGATCTCGGCTCTCTGTAACTCTGGGCATTGGTTTCCTCATTCTGTCAAATGAGAGGCTGGACTAGAAGAGCAATTCCTGATCCTCTGCAGGTCACTGACCCCTCTTTCCTAAGTCATGGACCCTTCTGTCCAGAAAAAACAAAAGCAAAGACAAAAGACACAATACGGTATGTTTACAGAGCTTCTGGAAATAACCCAGGGAGTTTATGCATTCTCTAGAGCCTCTATGGATGGGGCAAGTTAACACTGGTTAATATTTTCTCTTCCGCAGCTCTGCGTGTAATAGGGTCCTATTTTCATTTCCTATGCTGAGGGCCTGGTCTAGGTACTGCCAAGATATGCTAAAGCCATCAGTTTTCTGCCCTAACCAGCAGCCACCTTTCAGAAGAGTGGCTTAACTACCCAGTCCCAGTCTTCTTTGAAGATGGCAAGCAGCTCTGAAACCATCCTCAAAAATCTCAGTGTAAACAGAACCTTATGTTGCTGGGGTAAAATTAGGCTGTGAAAGTCAAGCAGAGGGTAACTGAGAAACCAAAAGAACAAAAGAAGAGACTCCTTTTCCAGAGAGACACATTTCTGCAGAGCCCTGACATTCCAATTAGAAACATGTTTTAAGAACATGGTTAGCCCAGACTCAAGAATTCTCCAGTGCAACCAGGTAAGCACAGAGGGAGTTACAAGGGAACCCACAAAAAGCACTATCTGATCAGCCACAACTTATCTGTCAACAGATGACACTTTCTTAAGCAACCTACATTAACTTCCTTGCTTTGTTTCTTATTCCGATCATTTACCCACTCAAAGTCAAGAAAATATTTCCCCCAATCCCAGGATTCAAACAGGACTGACACTTTTTAATTCTGAATATTCCTATATTAAAAACAAACCAAAGCTCCACTTCAAATGTTGAAACAAAAAGCAAATACCAGTAAAACTGCTAAAAAACAGGTTGGAGGTAGGGATATGGCTTCATTCTGCAGTGCCTTGGTCACATCTGGGAGTTTTGCTTACCTAATTCTGTTTCTGAAATAAGCAACATCGAAACAGACACGAGTCAGGATGTGATGTTTCCAGGCATTCCCCACATCAGCCTGTCTTATGGGCACTACTAAGCTCTCTCTCCCTGACTCTCCTGCCACCTACTATTAGGCCAGTGCCTTTTTCAGGGTTGATGCAGCAGTAATAAATCATACATTCCCACGAGAATGTCTTCAGTCTTGAAGGTGACTTTAGAGGAGGACACAGGGGCACTGCCTCCATTCGGAGGAAAGGAGAGCCATCCCTCCTCAAGAGCAACTCAGGGTGACAGAGAGCATGATACTCTGTGCAGTTCTGACCCAACTAGACAAAAATAACCCTTTGGCCTCAGGGAACTGGCCTAAAGCTAAGGTGATCAGCCTAAGTCATGTTTAAATCCCTCATGAGTCTACGTATTGGCTCCGTATTGATGCTGATAACCACAATTCATTATCTTGAACTACCATACTAATGCCTTGTGAAGTTTAAAAAAGGGGTGGGGTGGGGGGGGAGGATTTAAAACTGGATTAATTTGTTTCCTTTTCTTTTTTTTTGAAGATGATTTGGTATGTTACCCATGGGCCAATAGTGGAATTCCTCTTGCCACCCACAGGCTACTCCAAAGCAAGCTAATTTAGAGAGATGTTCCCAACTGCATCAAGTTTGGGGTTAACTAGCAACAAGCCTAAAAATTTGGTTACGTATATAGGTACAAAGCTGGTTCATTAAATCCCTGTTCTGGCCCTCAACCCAATGCATTTCAACTAAGGTGTCATCTACCTCCTTCTTTACATTTACCAAACACTTGAATAGGTAATGTCCAGCCACTACTTGGAGATGGTTCCCTTTTTCAGACACTGGGCTGCTGAACTGATCAGAAGCCTCTTGGTTCTGGGCCCCATTGCTTGAGCCTTTACAACTTTCCAAAACCTTCATCCCTCCCTTTTCCTCACTCCCTTCCTCCTCCATGGGTTCCTCTTGCCGGGAAAGTGAATCCTGGTTTGGGCAGTGGCCCTCAGCAGTGGTAGACTTGCTTTCCGGTAGAGCAGGCCCACACAAGCCACTCTCCTGGGGGCCCTGGGCCAAATCTTGGTCACCACCAGACTCTTTGGGGGTGAACTTTTTCTCTTCCAAGGCCTGGATGACATCCTCAGGAGCTCGGGGAACCTCTCTCAGTTGTCTCACTCGTTCTCTTTTTTTTCTCCTTAAATGAATCCAGGAGTTTTCTATGGCTGTTAGGAAAAGGCTAATTTCCTCCTTTCCACATGGTACTCGTTTATGCTGAACCTATTTGGAGGAAAAACAGAATTTTACAGGAAGTCACTTTTCTCCTCTCAAAATTCCTTAAAAAAAATACAAGAAGAAAAGAAAAAAATGATTGTTATAAGTACTTCTTTAATGTGCTTTTATCAGGTACCTTCAGATTGGTGAGAATTTTTTCAATCCACGTTGTCACAACTACTATGCCTTCCACTGTCTCAGAGCCCAAAGATGACGCTTTAAGGGACAATTCTTTTATCACAGACTCCAAAACTACAAATGTAATGGGTTTCCGTGGCTTCTCTAATTTTCTTCGCTTGCTTGGTGGTGACTAAAAGAAAAATAAGGCATGGGAGAAGAAGGGAAAGTTATCAAATAATTAAATCCCCTGCATTATAGTGAACTCAGCTAGGGAAATTTCTGACTTCTGCTAACAACTGCAGAGCACTAAAAACACAAAGGCCTTTGCATGTTTATTTTTAACAGTTAAAACAACCTTGCAAAATAGGTTTACCATCCCCCCATTTTACAAAGGGCTAGATAAGATACAGAGAGGCTATGGAACCAGCTTTAGTCACACAGCTAGTAACTGCAAAGTTGGGATTTGAACCAAAACCCAGGTTCTTTCTCCATACCACACTGCCTGTGTTCTGGCTATCAGTATATAGCACCTCAACTTATTAAATGTTCTCATTCTACCTGCTGTGCCCAAAATAAGCCGGTACAAGTATTTATTTCATGGCAACTCAAGGATCCTGGGTGCACTGTGTACTGCATGGCTTAAAATCACCAACTTGTAGTCTGGGTTTCTACTTGCTGAGACTTGAAAGCAAGCAGCTAGTTAACCACAGCTTGTGGGATCACACACTAGGAATGACCAGGAGCCACATGGGCAGAATAGGACTGCTGAGTCTTCACTAATGGTGGGGCCAAGCCCACAGCTAGCCAAGCACTGCTGGCTGTTCATCTGGGGAAGAGGAGATAACAGTACTGATGAGAACAGTGGAGCTGAAAGCTGCTTCCGCACAATGGAAGATTGTCTTTTTTCTTCCTATTTCAATTGGAAAGTGAATTATACTCAACCCACTAGAGGGACTCAAGTTCCATTTAAAAAACCAAAGGACACTATATTTAAAATGTATTTCTTCAAACCTTTTTTTTTAATGACTCTTAGGTAAGACCAGATAGATATATTATGGACACGTTGTTTTGGGAGGCAGACTTGGTCTTGTGACACAATTTATCAAAACTTGAAGCAATTAAAATAATTCCAAGGTTAGGTTCAAAATGAGGTAAAGATAATAAAGGAAAAAGGCTGAAAAAAAAACCCCACCTAGTTTTGAAGCTCTTTTCCTGAAGCTCTTTTCCTATTTAAAAAAAAAGTTTCTGATAACTACGTTGCCATTAACTATAATTCTACCTGGAAACAATGACAGGGCACATGCATATACACACACAGTAAGGGCCAATTCTGGGTGAGGCCTTATAAAAACTAACCAGCAACCCTATGCCCCATATAGACATGACAAAATAGCCAGTTTATTCTATGCTACGAAACTTTTAGACAGTATTTCTAAAGAAAGAATCTACATTTTTTTCTATATCAGATATTAACTAATAAAAAATGGAAATTAAAGAATACTAGAAAACAAGCTTAGAGGAAAGGACCAAAAGCAAAAGGGTGTGTGTATGAGTAAGAACCTGCTCTTGAGAAATGAACAATGGACTCTAAGCCCTGTATGAATTTGAACTTGTTCAATTAATGTTTCAGACAAGATGAGGCAAATTCATACTGGTATTAAGAGAGTAGTTTTGTTATTACTCAATCACCCAGCATAAGAAACGTAATTTCTACAGTTTACTAAGAACCTAGCACTTTGCACTAAGGTGATTCCATGATTATTAAGCTGGTGGAAGAAAGGGCATGTGCAGGAGGATAGGGGGCAAGAATCAGATTCCCTGTGCCATTTTCCAACATCCAAGGCTGCTTCCAGGGAAAGATCTATAACAAGGCCATCCCTGACAGCCCACCCAGCTGTCATCTGCCAACAGAGCCAAAAGGATACACCTCATATCTCTTCCAACAGAGATGGTAATCATTTGTGCTCACAAACTGCAACAAGCAAGTGAAGTTTTTACTGCTGCGTTTCTCATATGTTATGCTAGGTCTGGCCTATGGTACTCTTTCCTAAAGCTAAAATGGACTCACTATTTCTACAACTTAAAGGAAAGAAAGGCATCCTCACAAAACCAATAAGAGCTCTCTATCAAGGATCCATTTTCCAATTTCTGAGGGAGTCAGAAACAACAAAATAGACAATTTATTACCCTGTTATCCCAGGATGAAAATGAAAACTTCTCCATCTCAAATGTGGCTCCTTTATCTCGCACTGTTGGCCCCTGTTTTCCATATACAATAGTCAATTGACGAATCTGATATTTCTGAATATTCCCAATGAATTATTTTAATACACACATATATAGTCCCAGGATTGTTTTAGTTTTACTCTATTACAGAAACTAGGCACTCAAGAGAAAGATAACTTATACTGTAGAAATTCTCAAGCAAAATTTCTTAAATGAGCAAAGATTAACTTAAGCCTGGCTTATAGCTATCATTCCTCTCCCCACCTCTTTTGTACTGGCAATTCTTCATAGGCAAGCCCAGGGTAAAATACAGGAACAGGTTTTGAGACATAAACAGTTAAATTCAACTCCACAGGTCCCTGGTAGTAGGTAATTTTATACTCTGACACAACACTAGTAAATAGAAGCTAATGCTTGTAATCACAAACCACAAATATTTTAAATGAAGAGTGCTACACTCAAACTGTCATAATCTAGTTGAGCAGGCAAGCTGATATAAATAATTCAGTAATTTAAAGTGTAAAAAAAAATCAGTTATTTACAATGGTTAATTCAGTTTAAGAAATCAGAAGATGTATTTACAACTGATTCCAGATAAGAAAATGCACTACTCTATTACCAAACTGAAATTACAGTGTGAAAGAAGTTTAGTGGAGACTGGTAAATCTCATAGAGGATACTGCTTTTGTATTCTCTGAATTGCAAGGATTCACTGAATAATAATCAATAGGGAGAGGAGCTTCAAGTGTAATTTTGTTGCATTGTTAAAAACACAATAGACTGCAACCATGAACTAGACAAAAACAGTTCTTACATTTTAAAATACCTTCCTAATAGGGCTGCCTGTAAATTTCTTAAATCCTCACTCTTACTTTAATTTCCAGATCTGTGGTGCAACCACTCAAGAGACTTTCAAATGAGATGTAACTTGACATAAGTCTGTATAGCATCTGCTATGCTGCCAGAGCTTTGCTGTCAACTACAGCAAATGCAAAAACTCCCAATGAGGCTATGAGAAGCATGAAATCAAGTTCTCCCTAGCATCTACAGGAAAAAGAAGGGAGTCCATCACTCACTAGAGATCTACTGAGCACGAAGCCATAGCTTCCTTATGTTGACAAAGCAGCCTCTGGAATTGATTTGAGGGGACTGCCCTTGGCCACTGGAGTGGGGTCTTCACTGCTCCTCCACATGCTGAATGGCTACTGCCCTAGATCCTCCAGGAACAAGCAGAATGCCTATGAGCTGTTAACTCAGCACAGGCTACCATTATTTGGGGAAACAGAGCCAAGGGGCCAATGCTGACACCTGGCTGGAATATAGACAGGAGGTATGCTGGGAAGGACAGCCAGATCACCTCACTGACTATGCCTCATTCAAACTTAGATCAGCTCTGCTGCCATGAAGTGGACTGAATATTTTGTTATCTAAGAGTGTAGCTTCCTTATTAATAGCCCAGTAGGCATTTCTATTCTTAATCTGACAGATCACTGTTTAAAATATCCTAAAATCATCCCCAGGACATATGTAAAAAGTAAAAAAGCAACACTGAGGAGAATGTGTAGAATTCTATCTAAGAAGGGGTGGCTATGACTCTATGTGTATTTCCTTACATTAAAAAAAAAAAACGAAGGATAACTTATAAAATTGTTTAACATGGAGAAGAGGGGCTAGGGTGAAAGATAAGAGAAAAAAGCTAGACTTCTGTTTTTGTTTTTTAGATTTGAGTTTGAAACCATGTATCTTTTACAATTACAAAACAAAATTAACACAAAAAAGGCAATCCCTAAAAATATGAAAATAAACAAATGGATCTGTGTATAGACTTGGTGGCATAAACCTACAAAGAGGAAACATTCCAAGTAACTTTAAAATTCGTCATAAGATAGGCCCCATCCCAGAGACAAATGAAAAAAGAAAAAAACAGCTATTTTCACAAGTCATTTTGTGAAATGCCCAGCCTGAACAGCTTGTCTGAACTCCCTCACTCCTGACCATTCTGAACCCCTACCATTCACTTCGGCACTTAGTCACATACCATTATGTACCAATGCTTCATCTGTTTTTCTCCCTTGTAAAATTGATCATCATAAGGGATAGAAAATTATGTCTCCTTTCTTTAGTATTATCACAATGAAGATCCTACTTAATAAGACAACTAAGAAGAGAGTCTTTAGCTTTGGCTTTGCTCAAAAGCTCAGCTCCTTAACCATCACATCTGATTTATAGCCTGATGTATATAGCCTGGCATCCTACTGCTTTTCAAAACATTTCTTAACAGCAGAATCTTTTAAACAAATAAAATCAATACATAATATTAATAAAAGCAGATCAGCTGTGGTTGAAATGAGAGTGATGCCTGAAGCACAAACCTGATGTCTGCCTCTAACTGCCATCCTCTGGGGCACCCACATGGAACCCTGCATCTATCTGGTACTAGTCTGAAACCTATGTAAGTAAGCAGAGCGCTGTCAGAGACCCCAGCTCTGACACTAACAAGATGACCGAATGAATTTGATTCCTGCCCTCCATCTCCTCTCCAAAAGCCCTCGAGTTATTACTCCCTGACCAGAAAAATCCCCAGGCTTCAAAAAAGTGTCTTGAATGCTGGGGGATAATATTTTAAAACCAGAGTTCCTGGGCAATGCTCACACCAAGAGTGCACAACTCATTAGAGTCACATTATTTCTCCTTATTCTCTTAACAAGTGTCAAACTTCTGAAAGCAAAGCTAAAATGACACCTTGAGCAATCAGAAGAGAAGCTGGGACAAGGAGGCATTCTAAGAGGCTTGTTAAAATTCTGTAAAGAACAGTCCTTACAATATGCTTCCTTACATTCATCATCAGAAATGATTGTACAAACATTCTATCAACACTAGGACTCGTCTTTTTGGTGCTACAATAAATCAAGACAAGAGCAATGGGCTTAGTGCAGGCACTTGCATTAGCAGCAAATTAGAAATTTTCAGCTTTCGGCATCAACAGAAACAAGTCAGTAGGCCTGAGATAAGTGAAAACAGTTGCTATAGTAACTTGCACATTTGCCATAAAAAGACAGGAGTGGGGGTCGGGTGAGGAAGTAGGTCAATATTTCTGCTTAACTAGTTCTAGTCCTTGGCTTCCTCTCCTCATCCAAAGCAGAATTCTCCTCCCTCCCCACCCCCTAACAGGAGCAAAAGAGGAAAATCCAGGTGAGCATTTCAAAAAGTGAGGGGTACGGAGAGGCCCAGGTAGGAAAGAGAACTAAGAGGACAGCCCACTGAGAACCTCATGAGTGCCCTGGGACTACCCCTGGGAAAGCAGTTGCTGAACAAGGGCACCAGTGCTAAGAAACTGTTGCTGGGTTACCACAAATCAGAAATTGCCATTTCCCCTGTAGCAGTTTTAAGTGCACCTAATGCAACACTGGGGAATGCATTATTAACAACTTTGGGTTGGGGGCACTGATGAAAGGGGTGAGTACTCTGGCATGGGGAAACGTGAAGCCCTTAGCAAGAGGCATTCTTTGACGGCTGAAACTATGAACAGGGAAGAGGGATGGAGGAAGGCTTAGGAGTTTCCTTTTCAAAATAAGCTGATTTTGCTAACACAGAAACATAGTGCCCCTTGATATTCTGATCTCAAACAGCTACCAATCCAAGAGGGCAAGGGCAACTCTGGTCTCTGAGATGGCCTGGAGGTGCCAGAGCACGTTATCAGCTCTTCCCACCTGTGGTGCCAACAAATGTGGGAAGCAGGTTAAACAGAAAGCATTTGGAACCAGTGCAGTACCACTCTCCCACAGCTGGCACTGACTGCACAGGGATAACCCAGGGCATTACTAATGACTTTAACCATCTGGTGTGAAAGCCTTGCTATTTGACAGAAAGTAACAGGAAGGATAATCCTTCAGGGAGTTCCAAAAAGCAGAGTGAGTATTTAACCAGTGACTATTTCAAACACTAACCTCTAGATTACCCTATTGCATGAGGTGTAGAGGTGAATGTAGGCTTCCACAGGACACAGCATTCAAACTTGACTGGGATACTTATTTCAAGTAGCACAGTCAGTTGAAGAGTACAGGAAGAACAGGATCAGTTTAACTCTGGGCTCATATTCAGAAACATCTGCAAACTATCTCCTTGCACATGTCTCTACTCTGTTCTGAGACAAGTGAGAGAGGCTTATAGACACAGCAGCATTTAAGATGACTTTAGAGACTAACAGCAGTGAAGACCTTGGGAAAGGAGCACACCAAACAAGCCTATCATATGAACAAAGACCTGAAGGACCAGGTACTAGGCCTCCATAAGTACTATGGGAAGAAGGAAGAAGGAGCACAGGCTGAGCAATGTGTGCATAAACATAAGGCAGGAGGCTCCAGGCAACACAAGTCAATCACTCTTGTGAGGGAACCATGAGAACAAACAGAAGCTATTCTAGTACCACCTTTTAGTACAGCCCAGAACAATTATTCAGTCTAGCCAGTTGGGAAGCATTTTTCGTTTACATATATATAACAGCAAAGGAGACAGAAATTTCTGGAACAAATCATTTATTAAAACTTTCTATTCTGAAAATGCTCAAGCTCAAGCATATGCCAAGTAGAGAGCATAGGATAATGACCTATCACCTAGCTTCAAAACTCATCAATATTCTAGCGGTAATCTTAAAGCCAAGATAGAACCATTCATTAGAATGATCCCTAAGTGTTAACACATCAAAAGCCTGCAACCGAAAATGGGAACGTCTCTGTTCACCAGAAACCCTGGGAGACTGCTACTCTAGGAAAGCAGCAGTGTTAAAGGAAAATAAACAGACTTCAATTCCAATTCTTAAAGAATGTCCAACAGAATAATCATGGCCACAAGATGTTCCTACAGGTTACACTGGCTGAATTAATTTTTAATGCATTTCCAATTCATTTGTTTGTTGAGCAATAATCACTGTGTTGCACCTACAGAGAAAGGCTCCACAGTCACCACAGTCAGCAGTCCAGGACTGTGTCTTATTTACAACCACTTTCCATTCTGACTTGAGCATTTGGGGTGAACTTCAAGGGAACAGAACAGCATTGAGATTTAACTCTTTTATGACATACTAAACCCATCATGTTCTGGCATTTGGAAAAGCTGAAGCAAGGTCTCTACTTACTGGTACTGTTACATCATCATAAAAACTCCAAGCTAAAGCCCATCTCATTGTCCGACCTTGACAGAATTCAGTGTAGGTGACTTTAGGAACCTGAAACCAACAAACACAGCATCTCATCAAATTGAAGTCATTCTACCAGTATGTTTCTGGTGGCTGCTTCATGTTAAATTATGTGTTGGTCTTCCTTTTTACCAGTTAACAAACTACTATCGTCTAAAACCAGTCATGCATAGCTGCCTAATAATCAATGAATAAATTACCTCTCAACAAAGTTGTATTTTTTTCCTACAATAAAACAATTTACAGTTCTGGCTTGGAGATCCAAATATATGAAACACCCAAAACACAGCTCTTCAGAGAATCATTGATAAAATAATTCAAATGGTGTTTTGTTTTCTTTTTTAAGAGAGGACCACTAAAACCTAGACATAGCTATGTAGTCTCCCTTTTGTCTATTAGATTTTAGGAAAGAAAATGGAACTTTGAGCAGTTATAATTTAAATAAAGAACAGGTATGGTAGGGAGAATAGGATGACCAGATTGTCAGAGAGAAACCAGAAATAAACTTGTTCCTACCACTAACCTCATATCTGACCCCTTTCTCTGAAAAGTCATCCTGCTCATACTTACTCAGGCCAAAACACCATAAACTGGGAGAGAGGTCAGGGGTGGTATTTATTTGCCATCTGCATTTCAAAACAGAAGCGAGGGGGTGAACCTGTATGGACTGTACTATAGTGGGAAGCACACTGGGCTGAGGACTGTTCTGGTTCTAGTTGTTCTTTGATAACCAGACATATGACCCAGAACAAGCCCCTTAAAATATATGTAGCCTTTAGTTTCTGCAATTATAAAGGAGTCCGATGTGGGGTCAGTAGTAGGTAGACACCAGGTTTTTTTATTTCTGGTTTCTCTGTGACATTAAAACTCACCCCATTTTCCCCAACTTTAATCTACTGTAATTGTCAAAGGCGGCCTTAAATAATTTATAAGAAGTCCCTTTTAACTCTAAAATTATAAAATAAACAAGAAAAAACAACCCCCATCACCCATCATTTTGACTTTTTAAATATCAAGAAAAATTCTATAATCCAAGCACCACCAAAAGTAGACACCCAGAATAGTAATGAGCCTTACCCCTTGTACGCGAAGTTCTTCCTTCAGAGGAGCCAGGCTGCATTTCTTTCCCAGCATACAGCTATACCACCTACAAAAAAAAAATTATCAAACAAGTAAAACACTTGTTTATGTGGTTACATTTGTAAATTAAGCATTACTGAAGAAAACAAGGTGAGAACAGTAGCAAACAAATAAAGTTACAAGTGATAATAACAAAATTGTATATAATGCATTTAGACAAAGAACAAATCTAGGGAAAGAAAACAAGCCCAAAACAACTTAAAAAAACAAAACCCACTTAGTCTCTCCAATGATTCAGGGCTATACGTATTTGGGAAGAGAAAAAGAGGTCTTCACCTGTGATGCTCAGAATGAAGGCCATTCACCTCTAGGTCAGAAATTTGTTAATAACAGTCAAAATATGTATACAGAAACAGTGTTGTATTTCTGATCTCAATTTAAGAAATACATAAACACCCCTTGTTAAAAGAAATGGTAAAATCTAGCATGAACCTGCATTTTGAGATACCCTTATCTGCAACTAATTTAAGGATGTATATTTACATTAGAATTTCAACAGAACATGAAATCAGTTTCTTCTACAGTAAATACAAATTCAGAACAGGGAGTATGGAGAAACAGAATTAACTGGTTAAACAGTAAAAGGATAGAATTTATTTCTTCCAATTATTCTAAAAAGTTTCTAAGCATAAATTTATATACAACTTCTGCTTCAGCCTATGAAGGACTAACCAGTATGGAAATTGCCCTTCCACCGTAATCAACTAGGAAACTGAACAAAACATATGAAACCATTTTTTTTCAGACATTACACAGCTGCAGTGAAGACCTATGATCTCAGAGAGAGAAGCAAGGTGGGCCCTGTAACTGCCAGAGCTTACTGCCTTAAGGAAATTTCCAAGCTGCAATGCAGGGAAAGGAAACTCAAACAGAGCCCAATAATCTTGCTGAATTGATGAGATAGAGATTAGAGTTCAGAGGCTGAAGCAGTAAAGTTTTGAAGAGCAAAACACAAGAAAGGAGCTGTATATACAGAGAACTCTGGGCATCTGCAGAGGAGTTCCGCTGGAATAATTTGCAGAATAATGATCTGCATGTGTTGGATGTAACACTGTGAGGGTAGGCAAAGAACTCCCAGAAAGCAGTAAGCTGAACAATTCCTGGAGTCCAGACAGAGCTGGGACTAGTTTGCAGTTCTACTAGCCAGAAGAGTAAGACTTTATTAATTAAAAGGGGAACCAGTAAAATCCTGGAAAGAATAATACTTCATAATGGGGCTAGAGGCTGTTTTATATCTACCCTAATGAAGCTTATTAAAAGCAAGACTCAAAATGATCAAATAACTTAAATAAGTATCAGAACAAAGTCCAACATTCTTTAAAGGAACATAAAACACAGCACCACAAAATTAAGATGTGCAATGTCTAGCCTCCAATCAAAAATTGCCAGACATTAAAAGCAGCAGGAGAATGACTCACAACCAGGATAAAAAAAAAAAAATCAGTCATCTGGAACAGACCAAGAAATAAGGGAGATGATGGGAATTAGCAGATGAAGATATTAAAACAGCTATCAGAAACATGCTCCATAATAAACATGGACATGGTAAGGAGCAAAAGGAAGACATAAAAACTAACCAAATGAAATTTCTAGAGATGAAAATTACAATATCTAAAATGGAAAAAGCACTGGGTAGGGTTAACAGCATATTAGACTCTGCAAAAGAAAAGATCTTTTAAACTTGGAGACAAAGCAATGGAAACTATCCAAAATAAAGCACAAAGGGAAAAGACAAAGACTGAAAAAAATACACAGTAACCTATGGGACACTATAACAGTACACACAGCAAGGGTTTCAGAAAAAGGGAGAAGGGAAGTGTGGGGAAGTTGGGGTTCCTATGGCCAGGACACCCACTGAACTTAAACCACCTGAAGATGTAACTGGCCTGTTGCTAGGCTACTGCTTCCACACCTTTAGGCAATAAGCTATTATTCCTCTATATAGAGAGCTCAACCCAGTGCTCTGGGTGGAGGTAGAGACGCTAGTGCTCAACCTACTGCTGGGAGAAGAAACCGGGTAATAAAACCTTTTACCCCAAAGAACGTTTTGCTGTCAATTTCTCTGGTCACATTGAATCCACAGCGAACTTGCCCGGGGCTGAAACCCATTGGCAAGACAATTGGCGAAAGTTGGCAGGGTTCATTGTTGACCAAGGAAAAAGACAGGCTGCCCTTATGGGAGGGGTGCTTCAGCGGGCTGCCCTTGTGAATGGGGAGACAGTGGATTGTCCCCCAAATGGGTATGTGGTCTGAGGTGGCTTGCCTCCTAGAGGACTGGGCCCCACCCCAGGACTGGAGGCAAGTGGAGGTGACATTTGAAGCAGTAGGGGTGGCTCTTGATATAGTAAGCAGATCCTTTGAGCAGCAGAGTGCCCATGAGGCAGCGGGGACTGTGGGTTGGCTGCTTCTCACAGTCTTAAAAAGGTCTACAAAGGAGACCCAAGAAATGGCAGCACAAGAATGCAAGCTGCAAACTTCTGTGGATTCCCTGAAGAAGGAAATGGCCTTGATGCAAGAGCAAGGTGCCATCGGAGAGGTAAACAATTCCATACTGGATGAGACGGCAGCGCTGCCAGGTGTTCTTAAGGAGGAAGAGGCCATCAAGAAAAAAGAACTCCTGAGGGAAGCACAGGTGGAGATGGCCCAAGAACGTCAGCTGCGAAGCACTGAGGTGAAGGTAAGAGAGCTTCTGAAGAGTAAGGTAGCATTGCTGCGAGGCACTGTAGAAAAGGTAAAGGTTGTAGCAGAGGAGGCACTCAGGGGAGGGGGAAGAGAGGTGCCATCAGCCCCCAGAAATGGAGGAGCTGGGGAAGGATGAAGGCATGCCCAGTGGTTATAAAGAAATTATAAAGACCCAGCAGCTGAAACTTCCCCAAGGAGAGGAGCAGCCTTCTCCCCAAGGCGTGGAGCACTCTATGCTCCACCCCTATACTCAGGCTGAGCTGGAGGATTTGGGCTCTTGGTTTAGGCAGAAGCACTAGGAGTCAGTATTAGCTTGGCTCCTGCGTCTGTGGGACTTAGGGGTGGATGGAATTGTTCTGTTGGGATCAGAGATGGGAAAGCTGTCTTCCCTGACAGTGCAGCCCGCCTTGAGGAAACGATTACAAAATGCACATCAGACCCCAGGGAGTCACTCCCTCCTCAATTGGCTGATGGCTGCACTTTGTGCTGTGTGGCCCAATCCGGGTGATCTACCATCCTCTCCTGTTAGATGGCAGGCATATGCTGAGCTCCAACAGGTGCTACAAGAGCTAGGCATAAGAAATGCCATCTGTAGTCCAGAGAATTATGGCCCAGTTGAAGAGATTTTCACTACTGGGATGAGAAATACTGTACTTCACATGGCTCCTACATCCCTCTTTGGGTCTCTGGTGGCCATTCTTTCCCCTCACTTTGGGCATCCCATAAGTGAGGTGACACGTACAGCAGCAGATTTAGGAGAGGCTGAAGCAATGAGAATCCGGAAAGAAATAAGACCTGTTACTCACAAGCAGAATTTACAGGGCCCCATGATGTGGGTTGATTTAATACGGGCAGGAGCAGATGGAGGGAAATTAGACGGGAAGTCAAATAGGATCTTATTAGAGCTATGGCAACAGCTGAAACCAGAGCAGCAGTTCTAGCCATTAAGACCAACGAAGCAGAGGTCAGAGACCGAGCCACGAGTCTGGCCTGTGTGTTTGCAAGACTTCCTGCTGGAGAGTGAGCCAACATCACTTGAGCCCACACAGGAAGGTGATTGGGGAACACGGTATGATTGAGAGGAAGGTCAAGGTATCTGCCCTGAGGGACCAGGGGGGGTACTGGAGGCCACATGTTGAAATAGCTATCCACTGGTCCCCAGTGAACATACAATGTATCCTGCCTCTGGTGGACAGAGAGGCTGAATGTTCACTGATTCATGGTAACCTTGAGCAGTTCCCTGGGACCCCTACTATCATAGATTGATACAGGGGTAAGGCTATCAGAGTGAAAAAAGCCCAAATCCCTTTGGGAATAGGGCGTCTACCCCCAAAAGAGTATACTGTGTATATATCTCCTATTCCTGAGTATACTTTGGGGATTGATATCCTGCAGGGTCTGTGGTTGCAGACCACTGCAGGTCAGTTCAGACTGAGAGTACATGTGGTGAAGGCAGTTCTGAAGTTTTGAGGGGACATGCTAGGCACCAGTCCATAGCTTTGCCTGTGCCTCGGCGGGTGACTAATACCAAACAATACAAACTGCTTGGAGGGCATAAAGAGATTGGAGAAACTCTCCAGGACCTGGAAAAGTGGGTATTATAAAGCCCACCCATAGTCCTTTCAATTCCCCAGTGTGGCCAGTAAAAAAGCCAGATGGCTCCTGGCGTATGACTTTGGATTACAGAGAACTGAACAAAGTCATACCCCCTATGGATGCTGCTGTCCCCTCTATTGCAGGCCTGATGGATACCCTCAGTCATGAACTAGGAATATACCATTATGTGGTAGATCTTGCTAATGCCTTCTTTCCCACTGACATTGAGCAGGAAAGTCAGGAACAGTTTGCCTTCACATGGGAAGGATGGCAATGGACTTTCACCATCCTTCCATAGGGATACCTCCACAGCCCCATCATCTGTCATGGACTTGCAGCCCAGGACTTGGCTACATGGGAGAAACTACCAATGGTGAGGCTACACCATTATACGGACGATGTCATGCTCACGTCCGATTCTCTTTCAGATCTAGAAGGTGCAGCACCTAGACTGCTGCAACATCTACAGAAGAAAGGCTGGGCTGTGAACAGTACCAAGGTTCAGGGACCTGGTATGTCTGTCAAATTGTGACAAGACTTATGGGCCTGTGGTCAGACTAAAATAATTATAGTATACCATGTGACAGGTCATTTGCTACTGGCATCCCCAGGAAATGATGAAGCAGATAAATTGGCCCAATGGTTACATCAGTGTTTGTTGCATGTGGGGCACAAGACAATGTGGGTTGTAGCCCATTGGTGGGGCTTACCTTTGACCTTTGTAGAAGT